AAGCAGCGGCGGCAGCAGCAGCAGCAGCAACAAGAAATATGGTCAAAACGAATGCGGCCAACACCAACAATGGACATGTGCAGCAACAACAACAACAACAGCAACAGCAGCAACAATAAAAACCAATTTAAGCCAACCGACGCGTCGCCTCCATGCGGCTCGCTGCGTCTATCTGTATCTGTATCTTTCGCATGTGTGTGTGTATCTGGAGGATTTCACGTAGGTTGTTGTTATTTTTCTTTTAACTCGAACTGACGTTGGGCACAAAACGTCAACTGTGAGGCAGCAACAGCAACAGCAACAACAACAACAACAAATGCAACAGCCACAGCAACGCATACGCAATCAGTTTCAGAAATCAGATTCGGTTCGAAGTTGAATAGTTGTCGGTTATGTTGTTGTTGTTGTTATTATGTGGGTATCTCTCTATGTGCCACATGTGTGTGTGTGCTGGCGTGTGTGTGTTTGCTACGTGCACGTCTGCTGGTCTCTGCTTCTTCTTCTTCTTTTTCGACTTCTTCAGCCGCATAGGGTTAAACAGATCTATTGATATACAAAACATGTTTCGAACAAACAAACAAAAAAATAAATAAAAATATATTTAAATTATTTACAACTCGCTCTATTATACTGAAAAAAGGTAATGCAAGAGCTAAGCAAATGCCCAAAAAGTTAGTTCTCACAAAAGCCAATTTAAAAGAAATCTAAAAATATACTAAATACTTTATATATATGGCTATAATATGATACATATCTAGGTCTAGTGAATCGCCGTTAGTAAATAGATTACCTTAAATACAACTATAATAGTATTAATTGTAAAGTGTGTGTAAAGTAGAAGAGAATGAGAATCGTGTAGAAAATACCAAAATACAATGGGGATTTAAATGACTTTTTTTTTACTATTAAAAAGTAATTGAAAGAAAGGTACCTGAAAGACGTTTAAGTCATGTACACATTTACAACAAAAGAGGTTTGTTTTTACCGTATAGCTCTATGGCAGAAACCTATATTAGCTTTATTCAGTATTACTTTTTTAAAGAACTTTAACTAGAACTTGCCTAATCTACCTACATGTATAAATATTATATTGTTTGCTGATATCTTAGATTAAATATGTATATGTATTTGAATTTTCTTCAATTCATAGATGCAAACATAGCGACAATCATTTGAATTTGATTTCTTATAATATGAAAACATAAGACCCAGTTAGAGACTCATTGATATCAGATATATTGATTTTAAAACTGCGCTGAGATTAAGAGAAATTTTGAAAATGAATGACAGAAAATATCCACTTTTATATATGACTAAATACTAAGAGATACTACAATTAAGTGTACTACAATAAATATATAATAAAATACAACAATAGAGCTATACAAGGTGCATAGAACACCCTGAAAGTAATATATAGCTCAAATGGCATAAGAGACCCAACAAAAATAGAATAGAAATTCATTCATTGAGTGAAACATACAAATAGAATTTCTCATTTATCATTTACCTTTGGCTCAATACAACAAAGCTGCCCAAAGTCTGTCTTTAATCTTAACTCAAAAGCCGTAACATTCAATTAATGAAGAAGAAGAGCAAAATCAATGCTGCGCTTTGTTCCAATTTGGTTCTACTTGAAAAGATCAAATGAATTTTTTTTGAGCATTTGCTATGCTTCGGGAACAATACGAACCGAAATCCCAAAGAAAAAAAAAATGAACAACATATTCTAAAGGCTCTTCAGAAGATTGTATAGCTTTTGTGTTACATTTTTGGGATTGTCATGGCAAAAGTCAGAACACCCATGTGTGTGCGAGTGTCTCTCTGTCTCTGTGGGTGAGTGTATGTGTGTGTAGGACAGTTGAGAAAACGTTTTGAGTTGCCTTAATCTTAATGCGCCCATTTGGCCGTCAGGCTTCCTTATTATAAGTACTTTTCACCTTCAGCTCTCTGCTGTCCGACTCGAAGTGGCAAAAAGCAACAACAACAACAATGCTGAGCACAAAAACAAAAAAAACCCCGAAAGAAACAGATGCTTCTAAAAACGAAGAGAGATCATAGCACAAACAACAGCAACAACAACAACAATAATGCTGAAACCCTCTGTGAAATCCCAAAGAGTCTGCCCCATGCCTCATGCCACACACTGGAAAACGAGAGGCAACAATCCAGTTTTCAGTTTCGTATTATTATATATATACATATATATGTTTTTGTTCTGTTGTTGTTGCATTGGTTCTGCTTCGTCTTCTTCTTCTTCCTATTCTGCTTTATGCTGTGGTCTGTTCTTTGATTCGGGATCTCGGGATCTGCAGTTGAAGTTTTTCAGAATTTCGTGCTGTGTGCCCCGTCGTCTCTCATTGTTGTTGTTGTTGCTTGTCTGACTGGCTGTGCTTTGTATTTTATTTTTTCTTCACACCTTCGAAAAGGCAAAGGCACAAATTTTGTACGTCCGTCGACTGGAAATTCAATTCAATTCCCTTGCCACAGGCCGCGGGCCGTCAAAAAGAGACGCCCGAGCGGCAGTTGTAGCCGGTTTTTGGTGTTGGTGTCGCGCTTGGTTTTCTCACTTGCCCACAGCACTAACCTCTGCTCTCTGTATGTGTGTGTGTGTGTGTGTGTGTGTGTACCTGTCTCTGTGTATGTGTGTGTTGTATCTGTGTTTGTTTCGGCTCTGGAGACTGCAAACTGCGAACTTGGCAGCGCGCAAACTTGACAGCCCTTCTGCGCGTTTTTGTAAGTCTTCGCCTGCCAGGATCGTTTCGTTTCTTGCTTTTTTTATTATTTTGGTTTCAGCGCTTTTTCTCTGCTTCTTCTTATTTCATCGTTAAGATCTTTTGACAGCCGCATTGCGTTCTTTTCCTTTTTGTTTCGTTTGCATGCCCCTTGTTAAGGGCCTTAACGTGGTATAATGGGACTGGGCTCAGATTGTGATTGTACATAGAAGATATATATTCATGCTAGTGTCCATATAATGATATTTTCGTTTCCTTTAAAGAACGGTTTGAACTATGTTTCTTACAACTTGTAAAGCCTTTATTAATTAACAAATTTAGCTTAAATACATTATCAGCAAATATCCTAAGCGTTGAAGGACTTTACAAAAAAGATATATTGTTATGCAGAAAGAACTCTTAACTCAAAGAGTAACTTTTAAAAATGGGTACATAATTTATAGATGTTTTATTTAAATTTTCGAATGACTTTATAAATAATATATATAGAATATTGCAGAAAATTGATAAAAGATTTGATTTCTAAATAAAATAAATGAGTAATTTATATTGACAACTGATGCAACTTTTGATTATTTTTATTTATTTCATACAACTACAATTATAAAACAAATGAAACACATTTACACTAGAAAAAAAACTGAACTAATTCATAATATACTGTAAAATAATATAAGAACACTTTCATAACAAAATTCGAGTTTTCAATTACAGCATAACTGCTAGTCGTTCAGTTTTATATAGATCACCGCTTTGCTGCAGCTTGTTCGCATCTTGCTTTGCATTTTTTTCTCCCTTTTTGAATGGAACTCAATTTGACATGCCTGAAGATTTTCTTGAGCCGCTTTAACAACGAAAAGGAAAAAAAGAGAACCGAAAATTAAATCGAAAAATTATTGCGCGCAGCGGATTAATTTGCGGCTGCTGGTCATGCCTACAGCCCACGCCCTACGCCTACACGTCGCCCCAGCCTCTCTCGTGATCTCTCGCTCTGCTTTGATGTGCATCCGTAAGCGTTAACTGTCGACTTAGCCAAGTTAACCCATTTCAGCTCAAGGCGGAGCTATTAAAGGCCGTAAAGAACTAGACTTTATATACCTCGGGCTTCCACTCTTACCTAAGGTCTGGCCAACTGCAAAGGAAATCGTAAAAATCATAAAAATAATAATAATAATGCCCACTTGACATTATCTAAAATAGGAGCTCCTTCTATTTCGTCTGCCTCTTCTCCCTCTCCTCTCTCCTCTCTCCTTTTTCTACTTTTCTCTAGTCTGTTTGGGGCCTTTGGCTAAGTTGGTTCTTGTCGCAGCCATAAAATGTGTTTGTCGCTCGCTGCTTATCGTTCGGCTGCTTGATAACACATTTAGTAATAACAAACAGAAATACTACAGATAAACCAGAATGCCTCATAAAATACCCTGTAAGGGAATTGCAAGTACATAGAAGTATCGATATGAATACTATACAGTTTATGAGCTAAGCAAATCGTAAAAATGCTAGAAATGGTGTGAAAATTGTCTGCAAGATACCCTGTAAATTAAGATAGTGGCATTACATCACACATATGCCTAAATTGGATCAGAAATATAAACCTACTTGAGGTTCTACATATCCCTAATGAAATGAATTTTAACAATCCAGTTTAGCTCACCCCATTTCTTATTGATTACAGAGTATATTTTGAAACACACATATGCAACGAGTGTCCATTAAAACACACTTATAAATATTTTAATACGTGCATTTAAGAAGCGCTTACTTTTAATGCCAGCCGTAAAGCCTATTAAACCCTGTCAGTGCCAGACCATATAGGGTATCTACATTTTTGTATATGGTGTAAACAAATTAAATTTGTGCCCTTCTATCATGCAGCTGATGTCACGGGTTATAAAACAGCACACGAACTTCTATGGAATTAGACGAGAGCGCGAGATATGAATTCGAACTTCGCATTCGAATTCGAATACAAGGAATAAATAGTTGATTTATGAACAGTTTACACCCTCTTTATCGCAATAACATAGAACAGAGCAACGCCTTCACCAAACATGAGCATTCAATAGGGTTCCATTAAGATTTATGTTGATTAAAGGATCCATAAACTAAGATGACGTCTTATTGGGCTTTTACCAATATGGATATTATTTATTAATTAAAAGGAATTGGGAAAGACTTCCAACATGTCTGGAATGCTGTTATGTGAGAAGTGTCTGACTAGAAGATAACCCCAATATATCCCATGTATTTAATATTTAAATATGTTTGTTTGTTTTCCCTGCTTTATTATTCTTTACTCCACTATCATACAAAATACGAAAAGTGTGTTATTTTCTTCCAAGGTGTTTTTCTGGAATAAAATACTCCATATGTTATAGGGCAGATACACCGAAGACTCAGGGGGTGACATGATGATCTGCATAGACCTAAAGCCAAAATATAATTATTTATATTATTTATCTTTCATTTAAATACTTACGCCATTATTGCGAAGCTTTGCCTTTCAGTTGGTGAAAACGTGATATATCGGTAGACAGACGTAATAATGATCTGTATGGACAGGAAGCCAATATAAGTTATTTATATACATTATTTTACATTTAAATACTCACGCGCTTTATTACATTTTCTGGATTTTTTTCCGAATTTTTGTTTTTTTATTTTTATTTTTTAATTTTTTAATATTTTTTT